ACCCAAACCATTCTATGATTCTATGATACAAAAATGTAGAGAAGAACTTTGACTTGGTGTGTGCCTCTGTTTTAAAAGCTTAGCAGTGGTCTGTTGTTTTGTTTTGTTTTTCTTTTTTTCCCAAGTCTTCAGCTGTAAGGTAGTCTAGGAAAACTTAGAATTTTTGGGGAAATTTTGTGGGCAACTTTTGATTCAGGATGGCAGCATTCATGCTTTTGCCCCATAGCAGTAATAGGATGCTGTAAGGGTTGGTTTTGGATCTGGTGAAAAATGGAGGCTTTCTTGTGGATGGTCAGGTAAGGGCACTCACAGTAAGAAATGAGTAGCTCAGGTTAGTGATATGTAATGCCCTTCACTCTGATTTTTCTTAGAGGTTCCACATTATAAGGGGAAAATGAACCAGGGAAGCAGACATAAGAAATATGCTTAGCTCCTGATGTGGCGAAGAATGGCAACACCTGATGCTCTTGCATGGGGATGCCTGAGAGGATAGAAATGACACACCCAATGAGTCAGGAGGAATGAAAGTAATAAAGGAGCCCTGATGTGTGCAATGTGCTCTGTGTACAAAAGCAGTAAAATGACCTCTAATGATCTGTGTGAGAAAAATTGTGAAGGTTCCCAACCAAGCTGCTTGTAAGATAGGAACTGAAGGGAGCTTTTGGAAACAGCAAGTCAGGTCTATCAAGTTATCTGTTTTCTGAATGTTTTGTTGTTTAGGTTTGCTTAATGGTCATTTCTAGGAAAACAACATGCATGTGAAATTTCAGGAGAGCATGGGTTACTTTGGTAAATATAGGAAACGTTCAGGGAGGAGTTTAAGTGCCTCACTCTGTACTAAAAGTTTAACTGCTGCTGGGGCTTTGTTGTACAGCCTTTTGTTTTGAACGGAATCTAGAGTGCAGTCAGAGCAAAACTGTGCAGGTGACAGTTGTTGGCAGCCTGTAGAGGGCACTCCAAAAGCTTCATAAATAGCAGGATGAGCCGTTTGAAATTAGACATGGATAATTTAAGCAGAGGTCTGATCCAGGCAGCTCTTAAAGCTCCCTCCTCTTTCTTTTACTTGGCAGGTTTCTCTTCTCTCCTTGGTGACATGCAGCCCTCCAACCACAACTACTACATGTACCAGCAGCAGCAGCAGCAAGGCCCCTCATCAGTGGGTGCTGCTCCCCCACTCCACACTCCAACCCCAGAGGGTTGCCCATCCCAAGGGGGAAAGCAGCAGGGTGGTGAAGGTTATGGCCCTCCACCAGTGATGTCCATGCACCCACCTCCAATGCAGCATGGAGGCTACCATCAGCATCAACAACATCACCCACACTCCCACCCACAGCAGCAGCCACATCAGCACCAGCAGCAGCAGCAGTCACAGGCTTCAATCAACAATGCTGGCTTTGGTGAGTCAGGGGTGATGGAAAGAACAGCTGGGGAAAAGGGAGTGGTGAGGACCCCCCAGACAGAAATTCCACAAGCAAGCTTTCCCTAAGTGGTGCCTACGTTGTGTGTGGAAAAAGGGTGAAAGGCAGTTAGGATTGAAATCTGGGAGGGAAATTGCTCCCTTACTAAAGGAAAGGAGGATGTATCCACATTGGGTTTGGAATTCTCCTTAGGGATGCAGGATGAAGTCAGGAGCTAAATGAAAAAGGAGGCACCGTCCATGGTCTTCCAAGGGAGAAATGATTTCTAGCTACTGTAGTATCAGGCCCTTTGGTGAAGAGGGGCCAATCATTTTATATTAAGGGGCTGAGGGAAAGGGCAGTCTGTATTGTAATAATCTTGTCCCCATTTCATTCCAGCATTTCCTCCTGATTGGTGCTCCAACATTGATTCCCTGAAGGAAAGCTTCAAGATGGTAAACCGGCTGAACTGGTCTAGCATTGAGCACTCCCAATTCTCAGGTCAGTGTTGGCCTAGTGACTAGGTCTAGTGACTCAGTGACTAGGGCTGTAGTCTAGGATATGTGAGTGCTATGCCCAGATATTTTTTTCAATGTAACCATGTCAAGTTCATGGGTTTCTCAGTGACTCAACTCTCCTATTTGTAAAACGTGGTGTCCTGCTTCATGGGTTCTGTTAAAGACCCTGAAGTACTTGAATACTGCAGGAATTTGGGGCAGGGGGAATTACTGCATAAAAGTATGTCAGAAAGCTAACAGATTTTTCCCTCCTACTCTTCCCTCCCCTACCTGAGTCAGTGAGACAGTATCCTAGATATGGAGCTCTCCAGGAGTTTGGTGACAGATTCGAAGCGATGAAGTTGGGTTTGTGGGGAGAAGGTAGGATTTAGGGGTAGAAGACAGAAACTCTTTGCAGGGAAGACCACAGTGTGAGTGCTGTCTTTGACATTGACCTTTGTCTCCTGCAGAGCTGATGGAAAGTCTGCGCCAGGCTGAGCGGAAGAACTGGACGCTGGATCAACACCATATTGCCAACCTCTGTGACTCCCTTAATCACTTCCTCACCCAGACTGGTCAGCTCCCTCATCTGGTTGGCCCACAGCAACCCCCCCGAATCTCTGATTCTTGTGCCCTGAACAGTGGCAAACAGGAGCAATCCATGAACCAAGGTAATTAGGAGGGAGACTAAAAATGACATGTAAATGAAAGCCCAATTTTGTCAATACCCTAAGCTACTTGCTGCATTGCCAGGCAACGTAGCACTGAGCAACTCAGGGCTGGGCTGTCAGAGCAGTTCATAGCAACTTAGCTTCCTCTGGCTTTAAAGAATTAGGGTGTCCCATATCTGTGGCCTAGACGGACTGTTATTGTGTGATGCATACCATTGACAGGCAACCTCTCCAGGCAGAAATACCTTTAAAGGTAAACCCATAGAAGGAGAAGGGGGTGGTGTTTTTTGTAGGTGACCAACAGAAAGGAATGGCAAGGTAGAGAGAGTGCTATTCCAGATGGCAGGAGCTGTAAAGAAGAAAGCTCTTGCACACATGTTGGAGTAATACTGACTGGACAAGGAATAGGAGGATGCACTCTGAGGAGAGCACAGAGGATATGATGGTCTTGACAGAACTGTGGTGGTGTGTGTCATCTAGTACTGAACTAAATGGATGATAATGAGCCAGCTTGTGGTGTTTCTGGATGAAAATTTTCTTCTTTTATAATAATAGAGAAACTCCTGCTGGTTCCAAGAACAAGATCCCTGACCAAGCTATAGCTTGCAGTTAGGACCCAACAGCTGAACATCTCCTCAGTATCCCGTGGGTCTGAGTGAGTTGCTCTGTGGCTGAGCTGCCACCCAGTCAGGGCTAAGACAGCTGACCAGAACGTTAACAGGTTGTTTTATTCCTTTCCTTTCACAGTGAACTCCTATGGTCAGCCCCAGCCTCCCCATCTCTTCTCTGGGCCATCTCCTATGTACCAGATTTCCACCCAGGACTCTCCAGGATATAATCGCCCAGGTAAGGGGTGACATTAATGCATAGTATACCAATGAACATTAAAGAACCAGATCCCAAGACCTTTGTGCGTTTCTCCCAAAGCATATACTAATCAAGTGAAGCACTGAGGGTAGAGAGGGAGCCTGGACTGCAAGGGACCCTCCATTTAGGCCTCTGCCATAGGTCTGGCAAGGTTTAGGATATCAGTGGCCTGATTTCTTTCACTTCACATAAATAGTCTTCTAGCTCAGCCTCACCTTTAGTTCGTTGCTTGAAGGCAACTTTACATGTGAAGCCTCTGTTGATGAAGTCCTTTGCAGTCTTGTCAGCAGTCAGCTGTAAGGAAAGTTAAGGAGGCTGAAGCTTAACCTCTGTAGAAGCTGCTGTGGAGAATTTCACAGCAGACCACCTACAGACATTGGTAGGTGCTGTCTGACAGGGAGAAGTTCATGCCAGGAGTGTTCTTGCTTGTTAGACTGTTGGAAGGGAGAAGGCCTGAATCCCTTATGCTTTCTTTTGCCCAAGGCCCTACTGTGAAAAAGTGTGACTTTTTTTATTCTAAATGTTCTCTTTCCTTTCTCTTTTTTTTTTTTTTCCTTCTTGTTTTTGGCTCAGCTCACCATCTGGTCCCTCGGCCTCCAGGGCCTCCTCCAGGCGCCAATGAGGAAATCCCCGATGATTTCGACTGGGACTTGATCACCTAGCGAGTTACAGACTTGATAGCCCGTCCTTTGTGAAGGACGAGGGAGGGGAGGGGGACGTGGGGTGAATGGTGCCAGCACCACCCTCCCCAGCCTCCCTGCCTTCCTCCCTGCCTTGCCTGTATATAGATATATATTCTCTATCTCTGCCAGAGAAGCCACCGCAAGATGCTGCCGAAGATAATCCTTCCTTGCGTCCTGTTTTATCTTCTTTTTCTTCTTTTGTTTATTATTATTATTGTTATTATTATTATTATTACCAATAATTGAGCACAGCCCTCCCCCTCTTCTGGTGGCCTCAGACGCATCAGATCGGCTCTTTCATGTTGCGTGGTGCCCTGTGGAGGGTGGAAAGATGGGTCCTTGGTGCCATCAAAAGACCTCGGAAGGCTGAATCCTCGAGTGCATCTTTCTCTGCCTCCGTCATTTTGCGTTTAACAATCCCTCTTTCCAATAATTGAGCACAGCCCTCCCCCTCTTCTGGTGGCCTCAGACGCATCAGATCGGCTCTTTCATGTTGCGTGGTGCCCTGTGGAGGGTGGAAAGATGGGTCCTTGGTGCCATCAAAAGACCTCGGAAGGCTGAATCCTCGAGTGCATCTTTCTCTGCCTCCGTCATTTTGCGTTTAACAATCCCTCTTTCAAGGTGTGCGGTGAATCTGTCGTATTGGCTACTGGAGTGAGAGAGCCTAGTGGACCCTGGGAGCCTGTAGTCATGTTGTTTCGTAAATGTTGTAAAGGTCAGGGGGCTAAAGGGACACTGGAGGGGTGATCTTAGCTCTGTGAACTTTCTCGTACCAGCAGGAAAAGCAAGAAAAGAAGTAGAGTTCCTTAGCACAAAGAGAGGGTAATCCCTGAGGTAGGGAGAGCTGAGCTGAGCTGGGAAGGTAGACCTGAGTTTGGAGAAAGGAGAATGTAGCAGAGGTGGTATTTCAGCAAGGAGTTGGGTTTCAGAATGCAGCACCACCTGTGAGGACTGAGAGATTTTGAGGGAATCCTGACCTATTTTCTACACTGCCTTTTGCAGTCTCCAGGTGAAGCCTACATACCCATCAGGTAAAAGAAGCAGTCAGGGGTGTCACGTGTGATTCAGCAAATTATATTCCCCAGAGCTTTTAATTTCACCCCCCCACCCCTTCAAGCCCTTCCTCAAAATATGTAGTGAGGCTCTTACTTGCATATGCAAATTTGGACGTTTTCTCCCATCAGTATTTGTTCAGTTGTTATTTGGCTCTCTGCCCTTCATATTTCTTTGGAGACTGTCCTTGCCTGTGGTTTGAGAGTGCCAGCAACAGATTCTCCATCAGTGGTTCCCCCTTTGTGAATGTGAGAAGAGTAAGCTGCTGCTCAGAGGGGAGGTGAATTAGGAGACTTCTGGTCACGGGGCTGGACCCTCTGGTCAAGTAATGAGGAGGCTCGTTACAAAAACCACTTGTTTTTGCAAGAGGTGCATTAGAAGAGAAGATGAAGTGGGGCAGATTTCTAAATCAAACAGCCAAGGAGTGTAGTATAAAAGGGAGGAGGGTGGGTCAGACCCCTTTCAGTTCAGCTGGGGAGATGATGGAATCTAGTGTAAATCTAGAAGGATGAGTTTTGTCAGCACTTGCAAATTGGGAAGGTGGAAAAGGTGCAGGAGTGAGTGTTGAGATGCCTCCTCCCCAAAGCTGTGTCCTGTGTTCTCCTTTTTTCTGGTATGGCTCTGTTCTTTTAAACCTCTTGTTTCCTCTTCATATTTTGTAAAGCCTCCCCCCAGCCCTTATTCCCTGTTTACCAGTGAAGGGAACCAAGATAGAAATAAATAAAACATCACGGCCGCTTGACAGACCTGGGGCAGGGGAATAATAACCTCTACTCCGACTGCAGGAAGGTGGGGAACTGGCATTGCTTCTTAAATTTGCTGTAGGGATAAACCAATTGGATCTTTGTCAGGGAAGTGGACAGAATCTCATTGTACTGTGGGGTGGGGGGGAACACGACATTTGTTTCCTTTTTTTTTTTCTTTCTTTAAGTGTGTGTTTTGGGGGGAGTTCATCATTGAGTGTTTCCAAGAGAAATGAGGAATCCCAGAGCCAACTTCAGTGTGGAGTCAGCTGTTATCCGTGCTGCCTCATGATGGGAATGAAGCTACTACTTGGAAGCACGTGTGATAATAGGGCTCTGTGGAAAGTGGCACCAGAGACAACCATGAGAGACTACCTTTGGTAGGTGCCAGTTAGTGCTTTGCAGAGGATGTTACTGAGAGCTGGCCCTGTGGAAGTCTGAAAACACCACCAGAATTAAAACAGAGATGGCTCCTTCTGCGTATCCAAGTGCTCCTCATTTGCATATTTGCCTCATTTGCATATTAAGTTGTGCCTCATTTGCATATGTAAATACATGCCGGTCAGTGTGCAAATTAGCCTCGTTCCTCTGCCCCTGAAATAAATGTGCGTTGTTAGTGTGTGGGAAGGCATTGGGTGGGTGGTGTGGAGCTCTGCAGGGAGGGGCAGGATGCCAGCCTGTCACCCAGAGGGGTTCCTGCAGCCCCTCCAGCGCGGTGCAGCCCCCCCATGCTTTGTGTCAGTGGTCAGGGAGAGAGGGGCGTGGTCTCACGAGTTTATTTTTGTGCATGCTTTCTTAATAAAAAGAAAAAGTGAATGTTTATGGTTTAACGCTTTTGGTGCCAGTGTTGACTTTTTTTTCAGCGACGCCTGTCAGGTGGGCTCGGTTCCCACCTGCTTACCTTAGAATTTGGGTGTGGACATGGCTAAATTAACAGCCTGCACCTATATGTACTTAGGATGTCAAGACAAAGTCAAAAGTTCTCACAGTTGACTGTTCGCAGGGCACTTGGATCAGTGAGTCTTTCAACTCATGCTCACCAGAAAGGCAAAATGAAAAAAACTATACCGATGTGTAGTGGCTGTTTTGTCATACCATTTGTTGACCCTACTCCTCTAAGAAAAGACTAACACAGAAAGCAAATTTTAAATCACTTCCTTAGAGTACCTAGTAAACATACTTCTGCTTTTCAGGAGCAGGGAACATTCAAGCTTGGGTAACACCCCCAAATAGTCTGACTGGATGAAAATTTTATCTTTGACCACCAGAAAGACATGAGAAGCACATCTCTCTTGTAGAGAGCAGGACTTGACTGTGCTGCAACAGGCTCGCTGCCCACCTTCTTGGGATCAGACTGGAGGGTAACGCTTCTCAATGCCACGGTTTTACCAAATGGCTGATAGTCCAGCAGCCACCTAATCTGGTTCATCAGTGGCTGCAGTTGCTCAAATTCTGCTTGTGTGCCATCTTACAATGCAGTAGGTACATTTGGATAATCTCAGACTACTTCCTAAAGGGAAGATTTGGGACTCTGGTGGTAGAGGGAGTGTCAGGGAGACAATGAGTGAGTGGATGCTAATGAACATAGCTACAGCATGTGCTAAGTACAGTGATGTATTTGTTGGGACAAAGAAGTATCTTGGGCATCTACAAGGGCATAAAAGTCAGTTCAATGCAGCTGACTGGGGCAAGTGCTATTCTAATGCATGGCTGTAAGAAAATGTAGCACTACTCTCCAGGGAAATCTTCAGAAAAAAAACCCTCAGAACCAAAGTATAGTCCAAGGAGAGGAAAGATGGGATGACAGATTCCAAGGAGAGACATTCGAAGTTAGTTTCATCTGCAGTTTATCAGAGACAGGAGATGTAGAACATAGACATATGCAAATAACAGGATATTCTCATCTAGCAATTCAGAGGTTAAACTACATGATCCCACCACAAATCATTCTGCAAACCTGCTTTCTTCTTTAAAGGTTCAAGTACTCTGTGTCTCCTGCTTTACCAGGAATCTTCCCTCAGATTATTACTCTTGGTACTTCCCCTCTCTCCAGAGTAGGATATAATAGGAGTTAGCTGTTCTGGTGCCATGTGTGTGGATCTGCCGATTAATCAAATGTGTTGGAGCAAGAAAAGCTGTTAGGTGGAGAGTGATTGAAGTGCAGGGCCATAGCTTGCTTTTTCTGCTGTGCTGATTGGCAGTCCTGCGTTTACACTGCACTGCTAATGTCCTTCTCTGTTGAAGTCTTGCTTCTGTCAAGGGAGTACGGGATCGAACGTGTTGGTTCCTCACTAAAGGCACCTTCCAAGATTCCACGCACTGATTGCTGTGCCTTTGCCCTGAAGTCCCGTCCCACAAAAACATAGAGCAAGGGATTGATACAGCTGTTGGCATATGCAAGTGCTGTAGAGAGGTGATCCCAGAGGATCAATGACTCCTTCAGTCCTGTTCCAAGAGTAGGTACAAGGGACAGAATCCCAACTATGTGATATGGAGCCCAGCAGATAAAGAATGCAGTTACCACGAGCACAATTGTTCGCAGCGTCCTGTTGCGTGGCTTGTGAAACTGACTTGCATGCATTCTGAAAGCAATAAGGGCATAGCAAACTGCCATTATGCCAAAGGGGAGTACAAAGCCAAAGACAGCCCTAGTGATATTTATTACCACTAAGGCAAGGGATACAGAATAATCATTTTCATCATAGAAATTTACCCATGAGTCATTACCATTGTAGGCTAAAGGTGAGTATTCATCTATGTAATCTACCCCCTCGTCACCTCCAAAATTGTATCCACACTCAATTTTGCCATCATGAGTGCTAGTCTCACGGTAGTGGAAGACAGGACAGCAGAAAATGAAGGCCAGGATCCAAATGCCACTGTATATTAGTGATGTAAATTTCAGCGTTCGATGATTTTGACACCAGATAGGTTTCATCACGAGGAGGCACCGGTCAATGCTGATGGCCATGAGTAGGAAGACACTAGCAAACATAGTGAACGTTATGACTGATGGAATGACTTTGCAGAGGAACCAACCATACGGCCAGTGTTCATGGAGGGCCAGGTGAACAATGAAAAATGGCAAGGACAGGCAGCACATGAAGTCAGCCACGGCAAGGTTTAGAAACCAGACAATGTTCACAGACCTTTTCATTTTCAGACCAGCTACCCAGATTACCAGTCCATTGCCTGGGATACCTACGATGAAAACGATGATGAAGATAGCCATGGAGACAATGGATTCTGGTGCATAATATGCAGCAGCCTGTTCATATGAACTGCTGTTACCCAGGAGTCCAGGCATGCTGTAGCTATAAAACAGAAAGAAAATTAGTAAGCAATTCACACCCTCTTCCCCACATTCTTCTCTTTATCTGTACTGAAGCATCTGTGAGTCAGGTGAGAGTACAGAGCTGGCAGGGTACAAAGGCTTCGGTCTATGCAAGTTTGTGCTAAATTCTTGCTAATCTGACCATTATACACCTTCATCATTCTCATGATGGCTAAGCTAGTAAGCCTCTCTATTCAAACACACGGATTGTATACACTTAAGTTCTCCTATCTCTGCCATTCCCTTTGATTTCAGTCTGCTGCTTCTTAATCTCCACTCTAAAGTGGAACTCTCTATTCACATGCCCACACTGTCACCAGATGTCTTTCCTGATTGACTTCCAGCTTTGCATACGCTTTTCTTCCGAAAGGTAAGTCAGCATTTTAGTTCCTTTTCCCCTTTAAAACAAGTGATTTCTTCTGGCATAACCAGTGAAATTGGTTTACATTAAGAAAGCAATGCTTGTCGTAATGAAATAACCCTGCGTCACTTTCTGGACATTACAAATAGAACAGATAGGACAGCAACTCTGTTTGCTAAGGGGTATTTTTAGGGAAGTCTCAGTGACCACTTCCTTTTCCCTGCTTTTGTTCTGAGCTGTCTGCTGGTACCTTGAAAAGCTAGTCTTGATGAGGAGAAAGGCAAGAAATGAATGGTTTAAGAAGAACAGACAGATTTAGTCATAGAAATAAAAATTAAAATACAGAGTAAAAACAGTAATATTCTTGAGCCATTTTAGATATAAGAAAAGGCATCTTATTGTAAGACAATGAATTTGAGCCACAGAATACCAAAGTGATGTTTCAAAACTATGAGAATAGTAGTGGAAAAACTTTAATTGCTCAATTATTCTTCGACTTAGATATTAGTAAATTTAGAAAGGAAAGGAAATCTAGTAATGTCAAAATAGAACTGAGAAGAAGAGCCTGATCTTCATCCTTTAGGCATTAATAGAATTGTTTATAAAATCCTGTTAACTAAACTCTTGCCAAATCAATGAAGACAGTTGTGTTGCTGAAAGGTCCCTAAAAGCATTACCAGAGTGCAAGGAAACTGCATAGGTAAGAGCTGGATACAGGCTGCAGAAGCAACTCAGGAGACATGAATAAGACAACCCAGACTGAATCTATTTTAACCTCTGTTATGCCAGTACTTAAATGCCAGTCAGGGACTGTTGTATGCAGGACTAAATATCGGTATTATTAAAAATAATATTCCAAATCATCAATCTCTTTCTTGCATAACATATAGTCTAAATGTGGAGTGATGCCTGTTAGAACCGCTTCGTCAGGAAGAAAATGAGATAAACAGTTGTAAGAAACTTTGCAATTTACCACTTTTTGGTAATAACTGCTAAGAGGCTTTTAGTTGAGGGTGACCTGCAAGGAAAGCTATGAAAGAAGTCACTGGAAGGCAGCTGGGGACTTAACTTAAAATTCTAACAAGTTTGTTACATTTCCTGTGGTCTTGCAGAAGCAACTTTTACAGAGATAGCTGGAGAACAGTGCTGCAGGAGCTGAATCTTACTGCCTCCCCGGATAGCTACAGAAGATGGTATGAAGGGGATAGGGAATCAAGGAATGCTGTAAAGATAGGTATACAAATCCTATTCCAAAGCAAACTGAGGGATGAATCAATAAGAAGATACTGCCCACACTATGTTTTCAAGAGTGCTAAAAGGGCAGCTATGTGGTTATGAAAATGGAAGGGGGAACTGGAGGGGAGAGAGAGAGGTTTTCAGAAGTGAAGAATAAGAAATTGCAAGTTCAAGAGGAAAGCAGAATTCTGCAGCTTATTATACTTACCCGAGTGAAGCAGATATTTCGGTGTGTGAGGGAGCAAGTATCGTCAGTCCTGTCTCTGGAGTGACTGAAAAAAGAAACTCACATGACATTTTAGGAACTGTTTTTTTCCTCTATGTGCACGTGTGTGCCAAGTATGTTCTTTCACCCTGACAGAAAGGTTTAGAATGACTCCTATTTGAAGTTTTAGATATGATCTGCTGATAAAATAATCAATCGAACCAAAAGCAGCTGTCCAAACACTGTCAAAATGTAAGTGCCCTGAGTTAAAGAATAATAGAAAGCAAGGGAATGACAGGCATAGATATATACTTTACTATAGTTTCCATAAGATGACTGAATCAGATGTCTTGCCTAGTGGCATAATGCTGATCTTTGCTTGACGTTGTATTGGCTCTGGCTGAGATAGATAGAGTTAATTTTCCTCACAGCAGCCCTCAGTGCTGTGCTGTGTACGGGCAGTCAGCGAGGTGTTGGTAACACACTAGCGTTGTGGCTACTGCTGAGCAGTGCTGGCACAGCATCAGGGCTGTCTTTCCAACATTCCCCCTCCTCACCATTAGGCTGGGGGTGGGCAAGATCTTGGGAGAGGACATATAGGCAGGACAGCTGACCCAAAATGATCAAAGGGAAATTCCATACCATAGGATGTCTGCTCAGCAATAAAAGCTGAGCAAAAAGGAGGAGGAAGTGGGGGCATTTGTTACTATGACATTTGTCTTCTAAGTGTACCAAAGCCCTGCTTCCCAGCAAGTGGCCGGACATTGCCTGCAGATGTGAAGTAGAGAATAAATCTTTTGTTTTCCTTTACTTCCACACATGACCTTTGCTTCTGCTTTATTAAACTGACTTTATATTGACGCACAAGTTTTTTTCCATCTTATTTTTTCCCCCTGCAGTTCTGCTGAGGAGGGGAGTGATAGAGCGGCTTGGTGGGCACCTGGTATCCAGCCAAGGCCAACCCACCACAGATGTAATTCATAATTCCAAACCTTGCCATGCCACTATCAGCTGTCTGATCCGTTGTCTTGTAGCCACTTCCATGTTTTATCAGATCAGCACATTCACCTAGCTAATCTAATTTCTAGGATTCTTATAAATCCAGATCAGCTTCTGTCCCAGCTTGAGACAGCATAGTTCACCAAATACAGAACATTGTACTCAGCAAACCATAATTGGTCATGTCAAAGGGATTTTAATCTGATTTTTGACCTTTTTAGGGTATTTAAAGTTGTGGTTTTTTGTTTTTGTTTTTTTTTTTTTAAAGAAGGAACTTGACTGATGAAAAGTTAGAAGTAGTGAACTGAAATGCTGATAGCATAAAATGTGGCAAGACTATAAAAAGACAAGACATCTAAGGCAAGGCATTTCAAAATGGCAACAATGGGGTTTGCCCTCACCCCTCCCAGTTTGGGAAATCAAGAAATTACAAAGCCCAGACATACAAGAATCAGCCTTGTTATTTTGGTTTTGGTCTGGAAAATGAACCAGGACAGCGCAGATTTCTGCTCCTGAGCATGTCTCTGTGAAACACAGGAATGCTGCCTCCAACACAAAAATCCATGAAACCAGAAACAGAAAGGCAGGCCAGGGCTGTGCTGTACCCCCAAAGATGGACGATCTGTCAGCAACCAGCCAGGAAAATTCTTCTAGATGCATCTTATTCTCAGCTGCCATCTTTCCTGGGGGACTCCTCAGACCCAGATAAAAGTGTTGATAGGAGGATACTCCTATCGGCTCCTGTTGGCCAAGGGACGCCTGGCTTTTTCACCACCATATGACTCGCTAGCTCTAGTCAAACCCTCCTTTGCAAGAAGGTCCTTCTCCACCAGTTGGCCAGCTCTGATCCTCCCAGTTAAAACCTCTCCCCTGCAGCCAACCTTGACACAGTAAGCACTTTTAGTCCAGCCAGCTCACCCTGGATGGTGATGAGATGATGTGGTACCTCTCTGTATAACTTTACAGATCAATGAACCTTTTAAATGGTTTGACTAGTGAAGTGTTTTGCACCTCCACATAAAGGGCCTAATGATGTAGACTCTCAAAGGAGATGGTGCAAGGAGGAAAAAAAGACATTTTGTTACTTTCATCAGACCAGACCTTTGACTTGCAGCTTTGATGGTAATCCCAAATCAGCATACTGCATTCTTCTCTTCTGGATCTCTCCTTTCCTCTCATGATAAACAGACTGAGTTAGCTTAGAAAGGCCCTAATTCACAGAATCACTGAATAGCTGAAGTTGGAAGACTGTCTGGAAACTGTCTAGCCCAACTCCACTGCTCAAAGCAGGGACAGACAGGGAAGATTGTCCAGGACTATGTCCAGTTGGGTTTGAGTTTCTCCACAGAAGGAGATGCCACAAACTCTCTGGGCATCCTGTTCCAGTGTTCAACCACCCTCACAGTAAAAAAACTTTTATTGTGTTCAGATGGAACTTCCTGTGTTTCAGTTTGTGCCTACTGCCTCCTGTCCTGTCATCAGGCACCACTGAGAAGAGTCTGACTCCATCGCCATTAAACACTCCCATCAGATAGATGATAAGATTCCCCTCAGCCTTCTCCAGGCTGAACAGTCTCAGCTCTCTCAGCTGCTCCTTGCATGACAGGTGTACCAGCCCCTTAACTACCTTAATGGCTCTCCTCAGAGTTTTGCTCCACTATGTCCATGTCTCTCTAGTACTGGGCAGCCCAGAACTGGAGCCAGCAGACCACATGTGGCCTCACCAAATCTGAGCAGAGGGGAAAAGATCACCTCCCTCGACCTGCTGGCAGGACTCCTCCTAATCTAGCCCTGGCAGCTATTGGCATTCTTTGCTGCAAGGGCGCATTGCTGGCTTATGTTCATTTTTTTTGTCCACCAGGACCACACCATCATTGTTCTCCGCAAAGCTGCTTTCCAGGTGGTCAGCCCCCAGCGTGTGTTAGTGCATGGGGTTGTTCCTCCCCAGGTGCAGAACTCTGCACTTGTTGCCAACCTTCACGAGGTTCCTGCCTGCTCAGTTTTCCAGCATGTCCAGGTTGGCTAAAACCTCGATGCAAGTTACCATTTATACTGCTGTTTCAGGTTTGTTATTACAAAATTGCACCAGTCTATCAGTTACTAAATAGTTATACCCATATACAATCCTAAAAATGTGATCAGTATATTTACAAAAGCCTCCCTCCTGCAAGA